GAATCCTGGGATATCCTCGGCTGGTAAGGATACATGGATGCATCCTCGGATTTCGACAGGAAGTAGGACGCATTTCTCGGCCGCATGATGAGGAGCCTTCGAATTGGGACAGTCCTCCGCGCGGGGCAATGACGTATGCGGCCGACAAATGTGCACTCATGAGGACCCAGCCCCTGAATTGAGACACAGCCTCTCTTTCTCTCTCAAACAAACCAATGTTCCTCTCTATCACGGATGACAACATCTTCATCCTTTAATGAGTGACGGCTGGCCTGTAGATGGTGCTGATGATCCTCCATGAACAACAGGGCACTAATGAGCTATTGTTAGACTGAGGGACTCATGTTGATTATCACTTGTTAAACCCATTTGTCCTTATTATAAGGCTGAGTTCACCTGAAACTCCTCAGACTGAAGAAGTCTCTTGGAGGAGAGACAAAAACTTTCATTAAAGAAGAACCAGTCCAGAGATGCTTTAGGACACTCTGAGAACGTGATAAGAATGACTCAACTACTACGAATACCACAACCTGTTGGCACTGGGGATGACTGTCGCCTACTACCACACAAAACTGGCATTTTTGTTGCCATCAACTCTGTCTGTTAGCAAAATATCTCCTGAACCAGTGGATGCGTTTTAATGAAACTCACAATATAGCCACTGGACGTACAGTACATGTAAAACTCATAACCTTTCAAAGTCAGCCCAATGGCTGACAGCTAATTCACTTTAGAAAACAAATAAATGGTTGGCAGCCAGTTTTACAGATATGGAGGTAAAATCTGGCGTGGTACTAAGTAGCGGAGAGTCATCCCACCATATATTGGGTGCTAACAGATTGTGTCCAAACATTAAATCAGTGTAAAACTAGCACGAAAGGTTAAGTTAGTGATATGCCATCCTTTAAGGTTTTATCTATTGCTGGACATTTGTTAATATTGCTGCTAACTAAACTAGTTGCTGTATCTCCTGATCACTGTTGGATATGTACACACCATGAATACGGAGTCCAGCTGGGTCTGATGCTGCTGGGCAGACTGAGCACTGGGACCCTCTGAGTTCTGCTGCTCCACTCTGAGGAGGAATCATGAAGGATTAGCTTGAACAAAGTACAGTATTTTTCGGACTATGAGCCGCGACTTTTTTCCTGAACTATGAACCATGCGGCTTTTAGTCTGATGTGGCTTATACGTGGATTTTTTCTTCAGCCACCAGGGGGCTCTTATGCTGCATTTGCTTCAACCACTCGCTTCAAAAAAAAAAAAGAAAGGAAAAAAAGGAAGAAAAAATCGTTAGCTTCCAGAGCCGACTGTTGTACCAGGAAGCAGCAATTTAAAGATAGTCAATGGCCAAAAACTCATAAAAGGGGATAAAACAGACATTTTTCACGGTGGAATCTGACTGATAAAAACTTTGGACCAGTTTGTGGATAAACGTCGAGTGAAGAGCCGCGGACTTTTTTTTTCCCTCATTGCACTCCCCGGGGAAGGAGTCCCATGCAGTGATGTAGGGCTATCCCACCACAGCTTCAGAGCCAGCATTACCCCGGGAGGACAGCGACACAGAAAACAACACTGAACAGATA